CAGGAGGGGCGGAGCTGGAGGACAGCGTGAGCCTCTTTGCAAATCCTGGCCTGCTTCCCAGGAAACAGTGGGAACACCGAATCCAGGCACCCCAGGACTCTGGTCTAGGGGCAGTAGGACCCACATCAGTGGCAGGATAGAGCCATGGCCCTCATCTGCCTGTCTTCCTGCCTCTGTCCCAATTACCCAGGTGCCCTGGGTACTGTCGCCCAGAACGATGGCACTGCAGAGGGCAGGAGGTATTTTTAGCCAGTGACAGGAGTGTCTACTTTTCTTTCTGCCTGAGTCATGCCCTGAACACTATTTGGGGATTCATTTCTCTGTAAACAGACCCCCGAGAAGGGCAAGGGGATTCAGGAGCTGGCCCTGTCCCCCCACCCACCTGTTTTCTTAGATCCTAGAGTAGATACAGTACTTGAACAGGAAACCCCAAGTTAGGGTGTCGTAATCTCCCCCACTCCTGCCACCCGCAAGCAGTTGGGGTGGGGGTGTCAGGTTTCCCTGCAGAGATTAGGGAGAGAACATTTCTATTCTTCACCAACAGAAAGTCTTCCGTGCCCAGGCCCACCTTCTCCTAGAACCAGAGGCTGGCAGAGGATGCCAGAGCCCCAGAGACGAGCTGGCCCAGGCTTTCCCAAATTTCAGGCATTTTTTCACCACTTCCATGATTTAGCGACATCTGTACCACCTGCATTCTGCTTTCCTGAATGCCTTTCTCTGAATTAGCTGATTTTTAAATTCAATACATGTACTTTTATTATTTTTCTGTTCACTTTTTCATTTTATTTTTTAACACCTACAGCACCCAGCATTCCTAGGTGGTCTCCCATCCAAGTACTAAACAGGCCCGACCCTGCTTAGCTTCCGAGATCAGATGAGATTGGACACGTGCAGGGTGGCATGGCTGTAGACCAATACATGTATTTTTAAACGAAACTTTATATCACTATTAGAAATAGAAACTCAGTATCATTGGCCAGAAATAGAAAGTAACTGTAAAAATAAATACAACGGAGACCAAACAGTATTACTAGACTCTGTCTTGACGCTCCTGCCTGCTTTGGGCTGAGTCCGAGGCGAGCCACCTCCATTCAGAGGGGAGAGTAGCACCTGCTCCACAGGTTTTGCTGGATGCCACTATGGCATTGTAGCCGCCTCGTTGTCTTGATCCAAGAGGCAAAATCCTCGAAAAGGCATCATGCGACCTAACGTTCTGTGGCCCCAGTCACAACCTGCGGAGGGCCGGGAGGTGAATGCCACCCAACCTCGAGTCGGCGGGGCCCTCACCCCACCTCCGGGGGAGCAGCGCTCTGTCCCTTCACTTCACCCCAAGGAAAGTAGGTGCTCAGGTCACATGTCCAAGTAGGGGGGGACCCAGAACTGAACCGCAGGCCTCCAGACTCCAGGCCCGTGCTGTCTGAGGGCGGGCCTTCCCCTCACGCAAACACGGAGCATGACCGGGTCGGCCTGTCTTCTCTTCCCAGAGATGGAGCAGAAGGAAGAGAAACCCTCTGAGGATGGGGCCACTGTCTCCCCAACCGCAGGAACTCCGGGGTCACTGGGAGGTGGAGCCTCTGCAGAGGGGGAGGCCAAAGGCACGGCGGGGAGCACCGTCACAGAGGGGCCTCCCGATGGGGCAGGAAGGCAGGAAAGAGCTCTAGCCGGGGATGGCGTGGCAGCTGAATGCCAGGCGGAAGCCGATGGGTTGGGTGAAGTTGAGGTGGAGCCCAAGGCGAAGGCCGAGCCTCCAGAGAAGGACGGTGGAGAGGAAGAGACCACAGCTGCTCCTCGGGAGCTGAGTGACGGGAAAGAAGAGGACAGAGCTGAACCCAAGCAGCCTGAGGGGAAAGAGGAGGCAGCGCAGGCCTCTGGGAAGCAGAAGGCTGGTGCGAAAGCAGCCGAGCCCGAAGCCGGGGAGAAAGGCAAGGTGGGTGACGAGGCCAAGGCTGAGCCCAAGCAGGCTGCTGGGGAGCCAGAGGCCACGGAGGCCTCTCAGGAGGAGAGCCACCGGGCAGAGATGCCCAAGGCCGAAGCCCAGGAGAAGGCCGGTGCCCCAGAGGCCGAGTCGGACTCCGAGAGGAGGGCTGCTCCTGAAGCCGAGGCCAAGGCCGAGGCCGAGGCCGAGCCACAGGAGGGCGACCTGGAAGAGGCAGAGGTGAGTGAGGCGGAGCAGCAGTGGGAGGGGGCCCCACCCCCTGCTGGAGTCCCCAAGCCCCCTGTTTTATCCCTTGGGGAAAGGCCAGTCTTCCTCCCACTGATATCAAGAGCCCGGGGAGGGGGGTGCAGCACTGTGGTCTCAGGCTGCCTTCCAGATCGTTCTGAAGTCTTCACAAAGCCTTGAGCAGGCTCTCGTGTGACTGCGTGCTCACACAGATCACGTTTGTTCCAGAAGCCAGGCAGTCCCAATGAAGAGCAGGACCAGGGTGTGGAGAGAGAGTCAGAGGAAGGGGCAGGGGTGACCCCCAGCTCCCCCGAGGAGTGGCCTGAGAGCCCCACAGAGGAGGGCCACGGCCTTAGCCCAGGTGAGTGAAGCCCAGGAGCCCAGGGGCTGCTGCAGAGGCGACCCCCAAGGGGCGGGCGGGGAGCACGTCGCCGTCACTGGTGGCCCCACTTCCCTCCCTCCTGCTCCTTTCCTCCAGATGGGGTGGGCCCAGACACTGTAGCCTCTGGAGAGACCAGTCCTTCAGCCAGGTAATGTCCAACCCCGGGGCCCCGGTGCCAGGTCCCCCTACCACCTGCTCCCTTCGAAGTCTACCCTCCCCTGAGCCTGGGCCTCCCCAGCACTTGACCTCTAGACGTTCCAGAACTCCTGGCATTCAGGCCCTTTCCCAGGGCAGAGCCCAGGAGACCAAAGGGACCAGAGCCAAGGGCGTGTGCGGCACACCTGGTCCACCTCTCGCTCACGGCTGACGCCTCTCGGCGTCCTGACGGGTCTTACAGGGACCCTCATCTTGCCGCTCAGCATGCTTCCAGGCTTCAGCACCATCCACAGAGCACGGGCAGAAAGCCTGAGTTTGGACGAGGACTCTGCCGCTTACCAGCTGTGTGACCTTGGCCATGTCACTCTGCCGCTCCTCATCTGTGACGTGGGTGCAGTCACCGTGGTTCCCTCACGGGATTATTGCGAGGCTTAAATTACATAATGTGTGCAAAGCACCTAGCACAGGGCCTGGTGCCTGGCGGGTGCGAGATAAATTGAGAGCTTTATTCTTGCCATTGCCCAACTTTAGTCATTAGAAGAATCTTCCTTTATTTGGACCGGAAATCCGCCTCCATGTCACTTTCTTGGGGAAAGATAACCAGTGACTATTCACCGAGCACTCAGGCAGTTACGTGACAGACACAGCGGGGCGCTGTCCATTCCCCTTCTTACCCAAGCCTTAGAACCACCTCGTAGGTAGGTATTGTGGTCCCCATTTTATAGATGAGGAAGCTGAGGCTCAGAGAAGTGACATGACAATCCCAAGGTCACACAGCAAGTAAGAGGCAAAGCCAGGATTCTAACTCCGGTCAGACCTCGGACTTGTCCTGGTCCTGCCCACACATCCCACCAGACCACGTGCTCCCCAAGTTAGATTGAGCCTCATTTTTCCTTCTCAGCCCTCTCCCCGTGCTTGGCACAGAGGAAGCGTGTGCCCCTTGGAGGAAGTGGGTGCCACAACTGTGCATGCCCCTTCAGACCACACCCCGGCCAGCCCCGCCCCCACCCTACACCCTGTACTGGCTCGTCCCAGACCCTCTTACATGTCTTTGAACCTTTCCACGTAGTGAGTCTTCGCCCAGCGAGGTGCCCCAGAGTCCCACGGAGCCCCCGCCCCCACAGGAGAAGAAGAAGGAGAAAGCGCCGGAACGCAGGGTGTCAGCCCCCGCCCGGCCCCGAGGGGCCCGTGCACAGAACCGCAAAGCCATCGTGGACAAGTTTGGCGGGTAGGATGCAGCCTTGGTTGGGCTGGGCTGGGCTTTCTCCGGGAACCATGGCCTGAGGGGTGGTGGTAACAGCCCAGGCCGAGGTGGGAGAGGGCCTGGGGCTGGGGCTCCTCCTTGAGGGGGCCCCCCACGGCCTCCCACCTCTCTGGCCTGGGCTTCTCCATCCCTCCCCTCACAGGGCAGCCTCGGGCCCCACGGCCCTGTTCCGTAACACTAAGGCAGCCGGGGCGGCCATCGGTAGCGTCAAGAACATGCTCTTAGAGTGGTGCCGGGCCATGACAAGAAACTACGAGGTGGGCACGGGACAGGGACCCTTCCCCAAGGCCGCAGGGCAGTGCAGGGTCTGAGCAGGTGGGAGGCCCAGAGCTGGCCGAGCCCAGGCCCCACAGCCCGAGGCTCACTGAGGCCCGCTCCGGTCCGCCCGCCCGCAGCACGTGGACATCCAGAACTTCTCCTCCAGCTGGAGCAGCGGCATGGCCTTCTGCGCTCTCATCCACAAGTTCTTCCCTGATGCCTTCGACTACGCCGGGCTGGACCCCACAGAGCGCCGACACAACTTCACCCTGGCCTTCTCCACAGCAGAGTAAGCCGCAGCCGCAGACGGCAGGGCCGGTGGGCGCTCGGGGCGCCTAAGCCCAGTGCCTCACGCACAGCGCTTGGGGAGGGGGCTGCGGCCACACATTGGGGTAACCAACAGTGTTTGATGGCCAGTGAGTGAAACCGGTAAAATCCCTGCTCGCCATGGCTTATGCTCCAAAGAGAGAGAGATCATAAACACACACGCACGTGAAATATAGTGCCAGGGGCAGGTGCCATAAAGACAGTGCCAGCAGGTGCCATGAAGACAGTGCCAGCAGAGGAGAGGCGGGTCGGATCTGCTGTTTTAGACAGGCTGGTACAGAGAGTCAGGGTCAGGGTCAGACTCAGACTCAGCTGTTTGTCGGCTGCGTGATCTTAGGCTCCTTTACCAACAGATCTGAGCCTCCATATTCTCTCATCCAAGTACTTACCAGGCCTGACCCTGCTTAGCTTCCGAGATCAGACGAGATCAGGCACATTCAGGGTGGGATGGCCATGGATAGAGCCTCTATATTCTGATCATGAAAATGGGCTGAGGTTTCCTCTTTTGCAGGGCTGTTGTGAGAATTAAGGAACTAAGTAAGCAAGCACCCTATAACAGTATCTAATTTGTGGCAAAAAATCTTAATAGCTGTTCCTGTATTATAACGAATGATATCGCAGCTGTTATGATAACTATTATTTGCTTTGGAACCTGGAGGAGGTTTTATTGTTGAGATTCACATAGCTGTGTGCTCGGGTGGAGGCAGGATGGAGAAAGGGGAGTTTCTAGAAAGGCAGGAGGATGTGAGGAACAGTGTGGTCCTGAGAGGCAAAGACGAGACTTCCGGTTGGTGGAGAAGGGAGAGGCTCTCTCACCAGCAAAGCACCGAAACCAGCCTCGGCCGGAGACCTCCATCTCTACCCACCTGCGAGGCCCAAACGCCTCGATGGCCTTCGGGCCCCCAAGGAGTTCATGCAGGGAGCCCCGGTTCTTCTGGCCCCAGAGAGAAGCTACTGGGCTTCTTGGTAGAGACAGGACCGTGCAGAGGGCAACGGCCAATGAGGGCGGCTCTGGGTGCATTTCTAAAGCCCTGTGACAGGGGAGAAGCCACCTGGGATGTTAGCTGCGCCTTGGCCTGGGAGGCAGAGTCCTCTGGTCCAGTCCAGGCCTGGCCACCAACTTGCAGGGCGGCCTGGGGCAGCAACCTTCTCCTCTCTGGGCCTGTGTGTCCCCATCGGCAAAAGGAGAGGATTGAATATTGATCTGTGCTTTTCAGACGGTATTTTGTTTTTATTCAGCAGATTCCTCAAACCAAATATTAAGCGAATGCCCAACATACAAAACAGATTAAAACAGATTTTTAGGATGGGAGGGGTTCCTGGAGCTCAGAGCCCAACCTCCCTTCCCAAGATGGCCCTGGAGGCATGTCTAAAGGGCCCACGAGCACCACCAGGCTTGCCGTTCCAGAAGACTCCTCCCGGTTTCACAGGGTCCTGCCCGGGGAAGGGATGGGTGCCCCGGGGGTGGGCGGCTAAGAGGGTCAGGAGCACATGTCCTGCTCTGGGCTCAGAAACACCTTTAGTGTTGATGACGAGCCCTGGAATAGAGAGGGATTAGCTGCCAGGCGTTCTGCTAAGTGCTCTCCTTGGAGCGTCCTACTCGACGCTCACGGTGATCTTAGAGTGTGGACACAAGTGGCGAGGTTATGTGACACCCTGGGGTCGTACGGGAGGGCTGTGGCAGCACCGGGATTTGCAAGTGGACTCCGAGTTGGGACTGAGAGCTCCAAGTGAACATCCAAGGGCATGTGGCTCCACCCTGACCAGATGTCCCCGTCCCATGGGCCACAGGTCATCGTCCCGCGGCTGCCTTGCCTTGGTTCCAAGCCAGGCAGAGCCAGACGAAGGCGGAAGGAATGGTCAGTGATAATGACAGGCTGACAGGAGGCATCGGGCAGCAGTGAAAAGGGGAGGACATGGTGGGGACCGTGGAGCTGGAGGGTGGAGAATAGAGGTTGAGGTGCTGGGTGTGAATCCTGCCTCCTGTCCAGCTCTCAGCTGACTTCACCTCTCTTAGGGGTTGGTGTGAAGATTAAGTGTGCAGAGTAAGGGAGCCCCTGCTTTGGCCATCGCACCCCACTGCCCGTTCTAGAACTGTCCTCTGATTCCCTGGAGTCCTGGGATGAGGGAGGGGAGCAGCCGGTGCTGGAGCCCCCGGGGGCTCGATCAGCCGTGCTGCTGGAGGAGTCGGACCCGCTCCGCAGGGCCAATAGGAATGAAGCTTTTGCCTGTCCAGGGTGGAGGGACAGGGCCCACAGGAGCCCAGATCACTGCAATGGTTCCAGGGAGCTTGGCCCATTCTTCGAAATCCTCCAGCCTGTGGTCCTCTCCCTTGTGCCCAGGCCAGTGCGGCTTGGGTTTCGGCCCAGCTGTCTCGGCCCGGAGAGAGGATTTCCGCTGGTTTCTCCTACTGCCAGCGCCCATGGCGATCTGGCAGGCCGGGACTGCCGGGACCTGGCTCCAGGGCAAGGATGCCAAAGGTGTCAGGCCAGCCTGGGGTAGAGTCCCAGCTGTGTCACTCACTGTGACCTTGGGCAAATCACCAAACCGCTGAATCTCCAGTTCCTCTTCTGCTGGTTGAGGGCAGAGGGTAGGCGTGAATGAGACGGTTCAGGCGGAAGCACTTGATAAAGCGCCCGGCACAGGGTAGTGAGGCCCTGACAGCGGTTAATTCAGATTGTCAGCCTTAGCGAAGCCAGGAGTGGCACGGCGCCCCAAAGGGCAGCCGGGAAGTCAGAGAAAGAGGACGTGGGGCTAACTCCCATGCAGTCACATCAAGCAGGCCTGCCTCAGGGCCTTTGCACACGCTGCTTCCACTGCCTGGGATCCTCTTTCCCCGGATTTATTCTCTTTGACCTTCCCTGAGCACCCTGTTAAAAACACCCACGATACGGGAATGTACCCTGCCTCCCTTTCCTGCCTCATTTGGCTCCATAGCGCCTCTCACCATCTGATGTGCCGTCTACGTCATGGGTTTGATTACCGTCTCCCACCACGAGAATGTCGGTAACACGAGAGCAAGAAGTTTTGGTTTTGTTCAGCACTGAATTCTCTCAGTAAATACACAGAGACCGAATGAAGACGGAGATGGGGCAGCTGCGAGCCAGCACTCTGGCTAGGACCGGGGTTCTGTCCTTTAAGCTCTTCCCGAGGGGCCTGGCCCTCCGGAGGACAAAGCCGGGAGCATGGGGAAGGGGCGGGTTAATGCAGAACTAGAGACCAGAGGGTCTCGCTCCCATGTGAGAACACAGCGCAATGGAAATGCGAGCTTGGGGATCAGACTAAGCCGAGTTTGAGTTTTAACGGTCGAGGCCTCTATTCCCTCACCTGTACAGTGGGATGGTTGGCCTGGGTGACGTCCCATCTCCAACACACACGATCCGTCCTTGCCGAGCTGCCCACCCTGCCTTTCCCCTAGCTCCCATGTCTTTCGCCCTTGGCTCTCTGCTCCTCACCCCGCCCCACCCCTGCCTCCCAGGAAACTGGCCGACTGTGCCCAGCTGCTGGAGGTGGATGATATGGTACGGCTGGCAGTGCCCGACTCCAAGTGCGTCTACACCTACATCCAAGAGCTGTATCGCAGCCTCGTGCAGAAGGGACTGGTGAAGACCAAGAAGAAATGAGCTGACCCAGCCTGTGGGCAGAGGTGGGCAGGACGCCCAGCTGGCCAGCCATGGCCCCGAGGCTCACTTCTCTGCTCCATGGAGACGGGAGAGTCGGGGCTCGGGCAAAGGGCAGGTGGCACCGGTCTTAGCACCATTAAAAGTACTTTTGTAAAATCCTGTCTGGCCCCTCAGCACGCCCTCCCTCCCCCACCCAGGAACCTCTCTCACTCTGGAATAAACTCCGGCTGCCGGGGGCTGCTCACCTGATACAATCCTCTCAACAACCATGAGAGGCATTTGGGAAAGTTCAATGGCCCGGGTCCTACTGCTAACCAGCTGTGTGACCTTGGGCCAGTGAGTTAACTTCTCTGAGCCTCAGTTTACCACCGGAATGGGGATAACAGGAGTCCAAACCTCATGAAGGTGTTGCAAGGGTTAAATGAGATCATGAAAAGAAAAATAACCTTACCTGGCACCTGTCGCATAAGTATTCGATAAGTGGTGGCCAAAAGTAAAAACAAATCCTTCATGGCGAGCCATCTCTGGCACTTACCCCAATTCTCTTCCCTCTTTCCACACTCCTCCCAGATAAGGGAGTTCCAAGGCAGGGGCTGGAATCGAGGACTCCCTAGAAATCTCACCCAAAGTAGGCTGGTGGGGCCTACGCTGATTTCTTTGGCTCAAAGATACTCTACATTCTGCCTCTTAAAAGCAGGTACTTTTCCAGTAGCTTAGAACCACTGCACCCAGAAAGTTCTTCCTTTGGGTTAAGTTAATCCCTCCATCTCTGGCTGATGTTTTGGCTTGTTTTTTATTTTTCCATTGCCCATTAGAGATGAACCGCTGAGCTGATGATAATGTCCTGCTAACAATCCTGTCTGGCTTTATCAGCCACTCGGAGAATGTGTGCTGACGTGAACAGGCCATGAAAAACACAAAAATGAAAACCAGCCAGCTTGGCACTGCAGCAGGTGTGGACCCTGCCCTGACGGGCAGAGTGGACCTGGCAATCCACTGAAGCAATCCACTGTGCCTCTGTTCCCTCAACTATAAAATGGGGACATTACCCTTCTGGAGGCGTTAACGGCCCCTCTGGCCAGGAGGGCCTAGTCCCTCGTGGCCCCACGATGTCTGGAGTTACATGAGGCTTGAGGCCATCGGTTCATGGCTGCTAAGTCCCCAGCCTTCTCCTCTCCTGATGAAATCACCCCATCCGTTCAGTGAACACGGAGCCAGATTCCACAATTCATCTGTGACTTTATTTAATTTAATTAATTAATTAAAATTATTATTTATTATTAGTATTTTTTTTAAGCCTACAGCACTTGGTCTTCCTAGGTGGTCTCCCATCCAAGTACTAACCAGGCCCGACCCTGCTTAGCTTCTGAGATCAGGTGAGATCGGGCACGCTTGGGGTGGCATGGCCGTAGACATCTGTGACTTTAATGGCTGCATAGACACATGGTTTCCGTGACTCCTCCTGGACGGGACACTCTCTCCAGCCTGAAGCTTGGCCCCCAGTACGGAGCAGCCTACGAGGCTGCAAGTGGCTTTGAAACCATGTAGTCAGATTTCTGGGATGGAGATCATATGCACCACTTAGTGATTCATCACTGGAACAGAAAGGTTTAGCACCTAAACTATACATCTATCAGCAGCCTGGCTGATTTCAATCACATCATCAACCAAGTGCCCAATCATAAGTGACTCCCTCCATGTGTCTCGCCTCTCACCCCTACTCCCCACTTCCCACCCCTCCCCCGCCCCCCATGCCTGGGCCTCAGGGAGATTCTGGTTGGCTGCTGGGCTCATTTCCTGTGAGCCAGCCTGGAAGGTGACCTGCATCTCTAAGATAGAATGACTAGTGAGACCAGGATCCGTGAGACCAGGATCCCCGTCAGAGAGTGTTGGAGAGCTGGCCCGTGACTCTGCGAACCTAAACTGCCTGACTCTGGCTCAGAGAGAGGGAGTGGGAAAGCACACCTGTGGCCAGGTGAACCTGAGACTGAGTCCATACACACTACATACATAACCTAAGAAGGAAAAAAATGAGCAGGGAATGGGCCACGAACGGGCTCTGGCCCCCGGTCCATGTGTGCGTGTCCATCACGCATAGAGGATTGGGAGCAGAGTTAAGAGGGCCGGTTCTCTCCAAACTTGAGGGTGAACTCTTCGGCCTCCCTGTAGAACAGCTCCGGGTCCTGTGCTAGCAGGTCGGCGAGCTCCACACGCACAGGCTGCTCCAGCTCCGGCCTATTCACCAGCACGCTGAGGGCCTCCAAGACTGGGGAGAGGCAGGATCAGGCCATCAGCACAGACAGAGAAACCCCAGGGAAGGCGGCAGCGGCTGCTCACTCCCGGACCCCCCTGCACAGCCACACGCACTCCTTGGGAAACCCCCAAGGAGATTCCATAGCTCGGGATGACTCTACAACCAAATCAAATGCCCTCACACTCCCGGCTGATGATGCCCGAAGCCCTGACTGGTTCCATTAGTGGTTTTCAAACTACGTTCTGCGGCTTCAGAGGCACTTCCGCAGGAGGGGTCGGTGGGATGAGTGGGTGTCTGGGTCCCGCTCCCCTTTTAACAACAACCATGCCATTTTCCTCTGTTTGGTATTAAGATTCCAAATAAACTTTTATTTGGAGAAAAAGGGTTCTGAGGCTAAAGACTGGACACCCCTACTGCCCTGTGGCTCTGAGCTTTCTCAGATGCCCTTGGCCCACGGCTCTGAGCTTTTGCAGATGCCCTTGGGAACGTGTGAAGCAGTGACCTGTTGCCCCAGGCACGTGTGCACAGGCACAAACACGCAGTTCTGAGCTAAGAACGTTCCCAGAGCCCCCAAAGCTCATCCAAGGGCTGTTCTGCCCGTCCCCGCAGGAGCCCCGTTCCCAGGGTAAGACCTCCCAAGCGGGTCCTGAGGCAGAATCGTGCACAGTGATGACACCCAAAGGCTCGAAGGGACACGCTGTCCAACACGGTGGACTCTAGCCACACATGTATCTAAATTTAAATTAATTAAAAGGAACTACAATTAGAAATTTAGTTCCTCAGTCTCATTAGCCACATGCCAAGGGCTCAAGAGCCACACGTAGCTAGTGACCATGGAATCGGACAGCACAGCAATAGAACATCCCCATCACGGCAGACAGTTCTGCCCGACAGGCTGCTCTAGAGTCAGCCAAGCCTGGCTTCGCGTCCCAGGTGTGCCACCTGCCAGCTGTACAACCTTCGGCAAGTGCTTCACCTCTCATTTGCCTGAGTGTCCTCATCTCTTAAACGGAGCTAATGAGAGCACTATTCCGTGGGGTTGCTGGAGGGATTAAGTGAAGCTGGTGTGTGAAGCTCTTCACACAGTGCCAAACACGCTAAATTAAGTGAGGTGTGTTATCATTTTGGGGCCAATCCCCTCAACCGTCATGTAGGGCACTGAGCCCTGGGAAGGAGCAAATCCTTCACCGAGGTCCACAGATAGAGCAGCGGGCCTTCCCATCCCAAACCCTTCCCTCTACACTACAGCCCAGCTGCTTCTCTCTCCCATGAACCTGGTGACGATGTTCTGTCATACCTGCCCAGGTGTAAGAACAGAGGCAGGAGCAGGTCAGCCAGCCTAGGATCTCAAGAAGCATCCCTTCTGTCCGATGACAGGCTTGGCTGAGTCCTGCAATTTTTCATCTCCTCTCTTCTGGGCTTCTCTAACTCAAAATCAGCCCGTACGCCCCACCCGGCATCAGCCCCACCCTTCAGGCAAGGCCCAGCCTCACCTTGGCTAATCTTGGTGTTAGGCTTCCAGTTCTCCTTGTTGATGATGGGCAGGCAAACCCGGCCGCTGCTGTCCACGTTGGGGTGGTAGATCTTGGTCGTGAACATCACCGTGGGCGGCATGAGTGGATACCCCTCAGGAAAGCTGATGAGCAGGTTGAAGGCCTTGAGGTTGTAGGGTGGCTTTTTCTGTGTACGAGAAGAGGTTGCTCTGAAAAGATGCAACCTCGGTCTGGTCCCCACCCCCACCCTCATCCACACTCCAGGGTCCGAGGCATCCTCTGCTCCACGCGTAGGAAGAATCATGAACAGGGACAGATGGCACCCATATTCATTTGTCCACTGATCTATGGTTTAGTGGAGGAGTGGAATCACAAAAGGGTACTGGCCTGGGGAGGGAGGGCGCAAAAGTCAGATCCTGGCTCTAACTGTGTGACCATGGGCCAGCGTCTTCCGTCTCTAGGCCTCAGTTTCCTCATTTGAAAAATAGGTAAAGTTTGACTAGATGAGCTCTAAGGACCATCTCAGCTTCGCCCCCCACCCCCCGCCACTCCAGCTTTATTAAAAAATACATGACCTCTATCACTGTATCAGTTTAAGGCGTACAGCAGGGTGACCCGCAGTCCCCAGCCTGGGCATCGCGTCCCTAGCACTTACTTGTCTTACAACTGGACGTTTATATCTTTTAACCACCTTGCTCATCTCCTGCCACTCCCAACCCTCTGTCTCTGGTAACCACGAGATCTCTTTTTCTAGCAGTTTTTTGGTTCCACATATAAGAGAGATCACACAGTATTTGTCTTTCTCAGTTTGCTTTCAAGGTCCACCCTTATTGTCACAAATGGTCATCTCAGCTTTAAAGTCTTGCTGAGAATTATGGACGAAGAGAAGGTCTGTTTGGGAGCTGTTAGCAACTGCAAGGGAACCTAATTATCACGGGTGAAGAAATGAAGAGAGTGAAGAAATCCTAAGAACTCAGAAGATTGGGGGTGTAAAATGGTGCAGCCGCTGTGGAAAACCACATAGTGGTTCCTCAAAAAATGAAACACAGAATTACCGTAGGATCCAGCAATTCCGCTACTGGGTAGACACCCCAAATAATCGAAAGCAGAGGCTCAGACAGGGATTTGCACACCCATGTTCACAGCAGCACGATTCGCAATAGCCAAAAGGTGGAAACAACCCAAACGTCCATTGACGAATGACCGAATAAGCAAAATGCGGCCTATACATACAGCAGAATATTATTTAGCTTTAAATAGGAACGAAACTCCCATACATGCCACAACCTGAACTCGGCAGACATTATGCCAAGTGAAATAAGTGGACAAAAAAGGATACGTTTTGTATGGCTGCACTTATGGGAGGTACCTAGAACAGTCAAATTCATAGACATAAAATAGAAAGTTAGTTACCAGAGGCTGGGGAGAAGGAGGGATGGGGGGTCCGTGTGTAATGGGGACAGTTTCAGTTTGGGAAAATGAAAACGTTCTGGAGGTGAGTCCTGCATAACGACGTGAATGTACTTAGTGCTTCTGAGCTGTCCACTTAAAAACGGTTAAGGTGGTAAATACCGTTACATGGATTCTACCATGATTTAAATAAATAGAGAACCCAGAGGCTGGAGTGACCAAGGGTTGGGAGCTGCCAGGATCAGGTAGAAAACCCTCCAGGCTTTGGGCAACCTGAAGATCTTCCTGAGCACCTACTCTGCGCTGGGCGTGACACATAGTGGCCCATGTTGCAGAGTGTCGAAGTTACATGGACTCTGGAGCCAGCCTGCATGAGCGTGATTCTAGGCCCTGCCACTCATCAGCTGTGTGACCTCAGGCAAGTAACCTAACCTCTCTGTGCTTTCATATGGGAATAATAACAGACTTCATAGGACTTACATGTGGATCAAATGAGTTCATTTATGCTAAGAACAGGACCTGGGACATGGCAAGCCCTATGTATACGTCAGCTATTATGATGAAAAGTATTATGAAAACTCACGACTATCGGCATCTCCATTTCCAGACTGAGGAAACTCAAGTTCAATGTATGTAGCTAAACTTGCCCAGGGTCACAGTGGCAGTGCCAGGATGGGCAGCCAGTGCTGTCAACTATATGTCTCTAAGCGTGAGCACCACTCTCCATTCTTAGAAGGGAGGAACCTCAGAAACTGGATGACCCTAACACAGAGCACAGGGGCCTCCAGGCTGGTTCCAAAGCCTCAGACTCTTTCAAAACCTTCGTTACTGAGAAAACAGACCGAATGACATGTGTATTTCAGCAAGGATTTAAGAGAGGTCCTCTTCCTCACCAGAGGCAAGGCTTTAAGAGAGGTCCTCTTCCTCACCAGAAGGCAAAAAAGAAGCCATAGTGGACTTGGATGTGTCTGAAATAGGAGATGAGGCAACTACAGGGCAGATAAAGAAAATGTCTCAGCTTCATGTCCTCGATAGCAAGGGAACGAGACCTGGAGAGCAGAGACAAGGCCAAGGGTTGGCCTCAGAAAAGGCTGAAAGACATTGGCCTCTTATCTGTGAGCTTTGAAATCTGAACAGCACCACTCCAGTATAACTAAGCAGTAACATTGTTGGAGAACCTCTCCTAAATAAAATATTCTCGGTTCAGTTTGCTCATTTTCCCTGACCCCTTCAGGACATTGGATGAAATACGCTTTATTTTGACAACCTGACGCCTCTTGCGTTCAATATGTTAGCTTCACCGACGGTCTTGATATATAACAAATGTCCGGATAACACTCTAAGGTTGGCAAAATTTTGGAAACTAATCTTTACCCTCTACCAACCGTGGGAAACAGGAAGTTTATCCCCATCCTTTGATAAAGACTCAAGATAGATAGATAGATAGATAGATAGATAGATAGATAGATAGATAGATAGATAGATAGATAGATAGATAGATAGATAGATAGATAGATAGATAGATAGATAGATAGATAGATAGATAGATACACACACACACATATATATATATATTTTGTTTGTTTGTTTTGTTTTGTTTTGTTTTGGATGCCATTTGTCTGCTGAATCTTCTGTGGAGGGCTTGGCAGCTACTGGTTTGAGAAGAGGGTCTCCTACCTAGTCTAAAAGTCTTTTAGCTTTTTCATCAGTCAGCTTCAACCTCAGAAACAATCAATCCAGACTCAGAAACAATCAATCCAGGGGCAGTAAAATGACAGGGGCAGTAAAAAAATGGCTCTAAGGCAGGGAAAATTCTTGCCCAGTCCTAACCCTCCCTGCCCAGGTCCCCGGCCTCAGTCCCCTCAACCTAAGGCCATGATCCCGGGGACACTCACAGGAAGGAGGACTGCATGCCACACCAGGACGTTGTTGTCATCACTGGACAGGTTACATAGGTATGGGGGGAGCTCGTTCTGAAGATTCTCCAGCTCCTGCAGGAGGCACAGCAAGGGGACAGCTGACTAGTCTCTCTGACTTCAGCTGCTCCCCGCCCCCCGCCCCCAGAGGCTATCCCAAGTCCCAAACAGGCCACCCTAGGGGATGGAAGCCGGCAAAGTCAGAGCCCCCATTTATTGAGCACTTAGTATGTGTCAGATGTGGCGCCAAGTGCTTTAAGTGACTTCTCCAGCATTAGCCTCAGCACCACCCCGTACGTGCTAGGCAGAGGGAAATGAAGGTCACTGCTTCACGGTGTCACAACTTAGAAGTCAACTTCCCTTGGGGCCTTCTCTCCTGAAACCAAGGCACTTAACCTCTGTCCTCTAGTCCTTTTCCTAGAGAGTCACGAGGTCCTGATACCTGCCTTCCCTCCCTTCCTCCCATAGTCTCCACTGAGTGTCCAGCATGACGACGCGCCCTGACAGGGCCCGTGGCATCAGAGACGTCGCCCTGTGCCTGTCAGACTCCTCCAGCCCAGGACTGGGGAAGGGGAATGACTCAGATGGACCACGGCAAAGCAGAACTCTATACACCAAGCAGAGAAAGAAGGGCATAAGAGTGACGCCCATTCCCACAAATGTGACCCAATCACCGAAACATCACTAAATTCTCCCAACAGCCCTTTCTCGAGCATCGTCTACGGACACTTGACTAAGGCAGAGCCCAGCTCTCAAGAACTTCATTGGCATAATGGCAGAAACGGGAACGTGATTATGTGGACAATATGTGGACAGAATGAGGAAGGAAAGGAGAGGGCCGCAGGAAGGCTTCGCAGAGGGTGACAGTGGACTGGGCCACGCAGAATAAAGGAGCCCACTGTGCAGAGAAGGGGGAGGCACCGAGGCAAAGGGCCCCGCCAGAGCAACTGTGAATGGCGTGTCCCGTGCGAGATTAATAGTTATTACAGGAAAAGGGTTCCGTGGTTAAGTACACTGAGAAACACTAGGCTGAACAGACTTCTTGTCTGCAGGACTTCCCAAAGCCTTGAAATGCTATTGTGTATCGTCAGTCTTCAAGATGTGAGTGCCCAGGGCATGGGGCACTTCCCAAACGTATCTGACCAAGGAGCCCTTTCAGGGTCCATCCTGTGGGACAACAGACTTTTTTGGGGGGTGGGGGGGGGGAATAATTACAATATCAAAGATTATTAGACATTCAAGGGCAGGTCATATGCTCTGAAACACCGAAGGTGTAAACCAGTGATTCTCTGCTCAGAGCAATTAGGGGATACTTGGCAATGTCTGGAATCATTTTGGGGTGTCACCATGGGGCAGTGCCACTCCTTATCTAGTGGGTAGAGGCCAGGGATGCTGATAAACAAATTATCAGGCCCAAAATGTCAATGGTGACGAGGCTGAGAGGCACTGGCAGAAACAAAGGCAGAGAGAAAGCTTCCCACAGCCTGTCCACGGATGGGGAAGGTCCTTTAACACTGTGGACCACCTAAATGTTCTCTACGCCCCACACGTGAACACACCCCCGTCCCCCACTTCCTAGCTTTCTGCCCATCCTCCGTGTCTGTCCATACCAATAATTGCTTCTAGAGCCTTCTGCCTACGGTCTAGGGTCTCTGACCCTCATTGATCTTTTTTTCCCGCCAGCTACAGTTGACATTGCCTGTTATGTTAGTTTTGGGTGTACAGCATAGTGGTTAGACACTACCCTCAAACTAGAAGCATCTGCTACTTCAAGGCCTAGTTCCCATATCAACTGTGTCTCTTTGGCAAGAATGAAGGCCAAGGCTGAAGAGAGAAGCTGCGGAATAGATGTTTTCCGACTTTGCTATAACCGGGAGCACTTGGACTTTTATCAGTTATAGGTGAGTTCTGCCAAAACTTTCCCAAAGTCTGAGGATGTCGAAACCCCAGTGAGGACATACAGCTCTTCCCGGATGCCTGTTAGGAAATCACCCGACTCAGAGTAACAGAAAATGAAAGTAGAGAGGCCACTGAAAGAACCTGCTGAGTGGAGCTCCCCTGACCTGGGCTCAAATCCCAGCCCTGTCACTCCTGAATGGGTGACCCTGACATCTGAGTCATTAATTCTGAGCCTCCACTTCCTCATGTGTAAAGTGGGGGTATATGACTTACCTCACAGGGTTGCTGAGAGAATAAAATAAAATAACTGAAGTAAATTGCTTGGCACTTAATGGTGCCAATGGGATAAACACCAAACACCGACTCCTGCTCTTTCCCATTTGGCTGGAAAGACCCTCCGCCCCGTCTTGCTGCCAGCCTCCAGTTTGGGGCTGCACCTGCTCTGGGTGCCCCAATCTGGGACATCTTCTTCTCGGAGGCGGAGGGTAGCAGGCACACCTTTCTATTCCCCTCAAGACCGCACCCCACTCTGCACATTGTAGGGGAACTTCTGAGATACTCAAAGTCTGGGAGGTGTCAGACCCACATCACCAGGGTCGCTCTTCCTTCCCTATCTCTTCCCATCTCCATCTCCCGGCTGTACCCCAGTCCTGCAAACACTCTGGGTTTTCCCTCCTCCGGGGGGAAACTGTCCCCTCCCTATCCTTCGGGGCCGCATTTCAAGCTGTGTCTTTAATTGGAAAGAAAGCTCACTGAGGACAGGGTTTTTTGCTCATCTCTGCCTCCCCACCTCCTAGGGCAGGAGGCAGCACATAACAGGCATTCGAGATCTGTAGAACGAATGAATGCGCGCCACCTACTCCAGGACGCCTTCCAGGTCCGCCACGGCAGCTTTTCCTCCCAAGAACACCCAGGGAACTTTGCTAGCGACACCTACTCAGCATCCCAGACTTCTCGAGGCTCTAGTAATGCAGGTACCAAATTAGGGGGCGGGTCCTGAGCTACTTCGAGGCCAGGACCGTGTCCTGGTTATGTCAGTTCAAAACCATCCCGCCCCGCCGCCAAGCAGAGAGCCTGGTTCCTTGAATCCTTGGGCATCTGAGACGCAAACAGCTGTTATCACAAGTTTCTGGCAGAAGAAAAGAAACCGAAACCAGTTTGGGAGAAGCCAGCTCATCCCCATCTCCAGCACAGCTCAGGGAGCCTGCGACATCCCCGCCGGATATGCTCCTGCCCCCCAAAACTCCAGCTCTGGCCCCTCTGGAAGACCCACTCCTCCTCTAGGAGTGGACCGGGATAACAGGGTTCAGGCCGCCCCGGAACCGGGACAAACAAATGCGCAGGGAGAGCCCGGGGGAAGGGAGGATGCAGAAGGGAGTGGAGAGGGCGAGGGGATCCGTGAGAAAGGGGTCACCTCCACAGAGTTACCTTCGCCACTCGCTTGCTCGCCGTCATCTCGGGACGGAGTGTGGACTCTGGCGACTCCAGCGAGATTATGCGCCGGCCGGCGTCCCGGTGGCGCCCCGCCCCGGGGACCCCACCTCCGGGAGCCCCGCCCGCGCTCCGCTCACCGGCGCGCCCGTGACCATGTGGACCTGCTCCCTGCCTCTTCCGCTGACACTGCGAAGCGGTCGAGGGCAGGAGCCTCTCGGGCCCTGGCTGGGGCCCCAGGGCAGTGGGCTGGGATACCCGGAACTCGCGCCCTTTGTTGGGGGACCGGGCGGGCCCGGGAGCGCGCGATGTGGCCGGATCCTGGTATCCCACTGGGGGGCGCCGTGCACCAGGCAACGAGCGCTCGCAGGCTGGAGGCTGGGGTCCGCCCATCCGGGTTCTGATTCCAGCTCCGCCGCCGGAGGCCGTGTGGGGGCTCCCTCGTTTGCCCGCTACCCCAAACAAACACTCCCCCTAAGTCAATACTGGATGCTGGCTATGCTGTAGCAGCTCCCGACAGGTTGCTCTGCGGCTCCACCAACAGACCGCCGCCCTAAACTCCCCCAGCGAATTCCTCAAGCCCCCTAGACCAGTCATTCCCCCTCTCTGAGCCCAAAGCCCCATTACACCCTCCAAAGACCCCTTCCCTAGCAGTTTGAGATCCTTTGTGTGGTTGCATGACGAAAAGCACCCTGCAAAGGGGCGCCGTTGGACCCATTCTCTCTTGGTTTAAGGTTTGGGTCCTTTAGGTTTAGCATCTAGTTGAGTTCCTACTATGTGCCCAATAGGGAAACAGTTGAAGGGGGCAGCCCCACGACGGATTAAAAGAGCCTCCCTTATTTTACCATCAGTCCATTACAAACTGCGGGCGTACCTTTTGCCCCCACAAACTTTAGCCAGGAGTGCAAGGGCAGAGCAGAGATCCCTTCCCCCAGCCCGGAGCTGAAGCTGCGGTGGGACAGCAGCCGCTGGGCGCCGAGCAGCATCTGGGGAAGAATGTCCTAGTAATAACGAGACTCCTCGGGAGGACCGAACCCGTCTTCTTCACCCCCACCGCTTTTCGGCTCGCTACCTCCTGTCGTTTTCATCTAAGTGTCTTGGAACCAAATGACTTCTCCGTTCAGATGTGGGATGTATTCGTAGAACGATTAATGCTGTCTAATTCAATTCGATAAATTTTAAGTGGGCATCTTCTGTGTTCCAGAAATGAATAGGACATTGTCCACAATCCCTTAACCCAGGTACCGATGAGGCAGCCCAGGCACTTGCCCCTGCCTCTGGTCATTCATCTCAGTTAACGTGCATTACTGCTGACTGTCAGGCACTGACTTTAGAGAACAGCCGGATGAGAAAGTGGGGTCCTTGTCCTTGAGAAGGGAAAGAATACAGCCCTTGCATTTTTAATGCAAAGTGGTAAGCATGTAGGGTAAGGATACAGGGAACCATCTGGTGCTGTGAGAGCCTGCAAAGAGTCACTTGATGCAGACTTAGAGAGGGGCAGAGGTTTCCTGGAAGAGAGAAAAATCCAAGAGAATTGCAAAAGTACTGCGTAACAGACAGAACGTGGGATTAGGGAGTTCCCAGAAGAGAGAACGAAGGTGCAGTATATGGAAACTGAAAGCAGTTCCACAATGTGGAACAGTCTGTCCCGCGCTAGAGAAACTCTGCGTCCCCGACTCGAATTCAGAGTCATGGATTTAGCCCAGCCACCCCATCCTGGGATGAATGCTAACCACCCATACAGCTGGGACACTCACATGCATATCTTCGTACCTTCACACAGTGCAGACCCTTGTGTGTCAGAACCAGCCCCCAGGAGACTCGAACTCTAGTTCCACATCCGCCCCCCAGAGCAGGATGGCCTCCATCCACCCCTCAGTGCAGCGTGGCCTCCGGTGGGCTGTGGAACCCCCCACCTACTTCCCAGGAACGCTGTGAGGCCAAGCTCACAGAAGTGGAGGAACTTTGAAAATTGTAACGTCCAGCTAGAAATAATCAGGATTCAATCCCAGCTTGATTATTAATGGCTGAGTAACTTTGGGCAAATTACTTAAGCTATCTGTGCCTCCATGTCCTCATCTGTAAAATGGGACTTAGAATAGTGGCTGAGTCTACAGCCATGCTACCTTGAACAAGCCCGATCCTGTCTGATCTTGGAAGCTAAGCAGGGTTGAGCCTGGTTAGTAGTTGGATGGGAGACCATCTAGGAAGACCAGGTGCTGTAGGCATAAAAATAGAAATAAGGGATTGTAAACTGACAAGATCCTTGCAGTCTGTGAAGTCAACCAAGGAGGGTTGTCTCCCCTAAAAAAAAAAAAAAGAAGAAGAATAGTGGATGTGAGGAGTAATGAATTGATATTCAGAAGATAAGTGACAGTTATCATAATAATATTTGACTCTATATGCCCATAGCACGTCTAAAAGGACACATGATACTGTGAGTATCTTTGGGGAAGGTAGCTAGGTGACTGCATATGGGATGGGGGAGGAAAACTTTTCACTGTTAATCCCATTTCCTCTTAAATTTTTGAACAATGTGAAGATGCTACCTCTTCAAAAATAAATAACTTTAAATTTAACAACTTTCTATCTTTAAAACTGAAAGGTTTTTTACATTAAAATGTTTATTCCTGCCTTCTCTAAGAACATAAGACTCTGGGTAGTGCTAGGCTCATGATCCCTCATGGGGATGTTGACCAGCTGGAGTTGGGGCTGCTCCTTTAAAGCAGTAATGCCGGCCAGTTTACTGGTTTTCCACGAGCCTCACCACTCCCTGTTCCTCCCAGCCTGGCTGGCCTCACCTGCTTTTTTAGTTGCCTAATCCTGTAGGGAATCCCCGTTCTGGAGTCTCTTTACACTGGCTAACTTCCTATCTCTGAACCCTCTCTTTTCTTTCCTAGCGTCAGGGTTTTTCATGCCGCATGATGGCTGTGGCCTTTGCAGACAGGGAAGTGTAACTGGGAGGTGTGACAGTGCCCGTTCCCGGTCAGAACCATGCCAGGGACTTCACAGGGAAAAAATTGTCATCTTCCACTCTTGGCAGCTCTGTCATTGCCGGGAGAGGGGCAGGGGTCACAGAGACCATCTGAACAAAAAAAGGGAATCATACTTTTCAGACACCATAAACAGTGCGGCATGTCAGTCATGTGTTTAAAGACCACAGCATATGCATTTATGTTTGCATGTTAGAGACTAAGCTGGAGGACACTTAAGAACACAATAGAGTAATTATCAGCTGAGGAGGAAAAAAATGTGGCTTGGTTACAGCACGGCCTTTTCAGATGTTCTGCCTTTCATCATCTTTGAGTTATTATACACTCTGTAAATTGTAGTAAGTGATGGCATGCAAAATAACTCTCATACGCATGCAAATTATTTTTGTCCAATAGAAGTTTAATTGATTTCCTTTCTTCCACCCGACGGAAAAATCAGCTTTGCTTTTATTTACATGTTCATTTCAATACTCTTGATCTATCTATAAACGTACCTGTTTTCAAATTCTCTTTGGTTCTAACATCTGCCTCGTTCTCTTGTCAATTAATGAGTAGAATGAAATCTCAGATATGTATCCATTTTATATCTGTACAAGAGTCATGATTTTGCCTTTTTCTGAAAATTATCTTAATCGAGTTGTAGACTAATCTGGAAGGATGCTTAAGAAACTGACAAGTGGTTTTACCCACTCGGTGCGGGAAACTATGAGTCCCGGGATGGAGCTGGAAGGAGACTTCCCTTCCACTGTTTTGTACTTTTCAATTTTCCTACCATGTGAATAACTCTCCATTCAAAACTATAAACAAATACAACATGTTTCTTAAAGAAAATTAATCGAAAAGAGGGAAACAAAAACAGGACACATAACCTAGCAATGAAGAACATGGGATTCGAGGTCAATCATTCCTAGATTTCCAGCTCTGACATTTTCTAAGTGATTTAGGGCAAGTTACTTAACCTAAGTTTTAATTGATCTGTAAAATATCTTTGCGAGAATTATGCTAGATTTTAAAATGAAAAATTTTAGCCTGACACACAGTGAGCACTCATAACAAACCTGGACCACGATAATGTGATAATCAACATCATCATTGTCATCTCCATCACCAACAAGTCCAGTGTCTCCCAAGTACTAAATGAACCCACTAACAGGGTGTCAAGCAATTTTAGGTGGTACTAAATCACATATTAAGAAAGTTTTTTCTTATTTAATATTTTTCTGGCCCTTATTGATTTCTCAAAGACAAAGTTTCAGTTTAGGGCTACTGGTCTTTTGTATCCAACACATGCTAATTTTGTTTTTTTAACAAGGAATGAGGAGGCATAGAAGGAAGGAGGTATAGAGATTTCAGCAGGCAAAATCAGCTAGAATTAAGTAACGTCATTCTGTTTCATGGCGTTTCTTTCTTTCTTTCTTTTTTTTTTTTTGCCAGTTAAATTATATTTATTATATAAATCCTATAACTTGATATGAAAAACAAAGCGACTACGAAAAGTACTACAAAGGCAAAGGACATGAACATTTGACCAGAGAGAAACACAGCTACTCAAAAAACACAAATATTTAACCTCATCAATAATCAAGAAAATGATTGAGATGCTATTACTCGCTCATTCAAAGCACAAGGTTAATAGCGATTTCTACTTTTTCTATTTTCTAAATGTACTTAACGGTGCTATTTTTAGTCATAAAAAATTGAGTCTTTGAAAAAGAAACATCGAAAGTATGAGAATTTCTGCCAATGCAGAAATCATAAAAAGCATGAAAACGAACCAACAGTTGTATAGGCAGCAAGATTCAAATCCCTGGAAGCCAATTCCTTTTGTCTTGGTTCCTGAGTTTTATTATGGGATTGCCAATAAAGAGAAGGCTGTTCCTGATTTACACTGTGACAGCCTCCCAAGTATTAGGGTCTACATGCACATGCGTATGTATGTAAGTATGTAAATGTCTATATGTAAATTTCTTCTTCAAGTAGATTATTATGCCAGGATAGGACTTCTTCAGAATCACTCAACCAGTGGGGGTGCCCTTGGTATTAAAGAGGCTGAAAATCTACTTCAGTGTTGTCTGCAAGACAGCAGTGTCCTAGACCTTCTGTGGCTAGCTCCTTAGAGAGTCTGAGGTTAGTCCTGTCCTTCAGACATAGCCCAAAGGACATTTTTCTGATTCGATGCAGAACAGAGTGTATCTCCCGCTTGCTCAGATCATAGCCTTGAGGCAGATCACACAAAGCTCAAGATGCACAGGGCTGGAACAGCATCAGGGCAACCAGCCCAGATCAAATAATCATGTTAGGGTGACAAAGTTAGGAGACTGAACTT